CTATCTATCTATCTATCTATCTATCTATCTATCTATCTATCTATCTATCTATCTATCTATCTATCTATCTATCTATCTATCTATCTATCTTTTGGCTCCCTGCAGTATAGAAATATATTAAATGTCCTGTGGGATTTAATGAAGTCTCTGAATGTTCCTTAGATAATTTCTCTAATGTCTTCAAAGCATTTCTGAGCTCCAGGTGCCTGAACCCGACCACATTTCAAATTACTCAATTTTCTCGCAGCACCCCCCCCCCACACACACACACACACACACCCGTCCTGGCGCGCGCGCCCGAGCCCCTTTCGTCCGCGCGTCCCAGCGCGCGTGCACGCGAGCCGCGGAGAAGAAGTTATTATGTAAGATGTTCCCAATCACAGCCCAGCAGCTGAGGCGCGAGGCGGCGGCGGCGGCTTAGAGATATCTCCCGGACACACGGCGCTTCATCTTCGAGCCCCCCCGCTGAAAGTGGCGCAACTGATGCCCAAMAGTGACGGAAGTCCCAGAAGAAGGAAGATTTCGGTAAGAAACGGCGGCTCATTTCACACAYATACACATACGCAAAAAATGCTAATTAAACCTAATTTACAGCGGAACCTTCTGGGCATTTTTAAACCATTTGTTTTATCCTGTGCCACAGCGAAGCKCTAATGACTCGAATATTTCACTGAAATGTCTCTATAGGTGCTGACAGAGACTTTAATAACGACTTATCTACTTATGGGACTTTATTCTCTTCTTTATTTGCCTCATGGGCACAGTTCTCMACATAATGAATTTATAGCTCTTCTTAGTGGCCGTTCTTCCGGTTCTGAGGTGAAAATGTTGGGTCTCCAGGTGTCTCTCCTACCTGCCCTGTTTATTCTCTTACTGATGATTAACGTGCTTGTTTTGTGTCCCATACAGAGCATTTTCCAGAAAAAAAAAATGTTCATGAACTAAACTTAGACTGTTGACCTTTTTTTGTGTGTGTAAATTGCAAACATGCGAGATCATTTTTAACCAGAATGACCTCTCCTGTCAGTTTTCAGTGATTGCTTTGAGTAGATTTCCCTGCTAACACTGCTGCTGCTGCCAGCAGACACATCTCTGCATCACTGGAGGTGTCTAAATCCTGCCACAGTTTATCAGCATCAAGGCTGTAGCACAAGAGCAAAGGCACATCAGAAGAAATTCGGCTAAATTAAAAGGTCCAGAAGAAAGACTTCATTCCACCGAGGAGTTTAAATGTTTCTTCTTTTGTAGCAGCTTTTCTATTTCTGTTTGAAATACACTGGCTAATTACCGGAGACAGTGCAGCCCATCCTAACAGGTCATTACTGCTCATAAACAAGACGGCCACAAGCAATTAATGCTCCACCTGTCAACATTTATCATTGTTACGGAGTCTTCTGTTAAACATGATGAATCCTTTCATGCCTGCAAATGTAATACTGTTTGCATAGCTGCGTTGGAAAACTAATTTCTGAGGAACTGAGCCGAGGGCGAGCCGTATCGCTTAATCAGTGTGGTTTCATGCTGAAATATGCACGCAAATAAAAACATCCTCTCATTCTATTTAGACCCTCTTGGTCTGGGTGTAATGAAATTGTATTTCTGTAATGTTTTCCGGTACATTAACTTGTACAGTTGGAAGGACCGTGGGAGCTGCTGGGATGGATCAGCGGCGACGAGCGGCGCCCTTTATRGACAGAAACAGAATCAATTTCTACTGTCAGAAGAGAAGGAAACAGTTAGAGGGAATGATTGTCTCCAAAAGAGCAGCCATTATCCSCCGTTATTGTGATGGAAATTTAAATCAGCAGGCTATTATAGCATTACTGCAAAAAACTCTGGATCTTTGCTGTTTTCTTGATGATCTTCCACCAGTGCTTCAGTCATTTTCATTGCCGGCACTCGACAAACTTATAGCCTAATATCTGCAAACCAACACTCTTTATTCCCCTCATAWGTTTCTGTCGCTCTCAAATTGAAACCACCTCAGGGTGCACAAAGCAGTATTTATYAAGAAGCAGCATAAAGACACTTGTCAGACAACATTCAAACACAGCGACATTAATACCGACGTTTCAGCTTTTTTCAAGTGGACTTTGGTGTAAAAGTAATAGAGCAAATACATTCTCTGTGAAAATGCTGTGAGATTGTCAAGTGCTGAATGACTTTGCTAAATGAGCTAAAACTAAGTTGAAATTATAGCAAGCASAACAGAGGGTTGAAATAGGCAAACACAAGCTAAAAGCAGCAAAAACCAAATTCATTGGAGTTGGAAGCTAAAAACAGCAAAGTCATAGCTAAATGCTATAGGAGGAGCAGATGGGTGGTGAAAATGAGTAAAATAGAAGCTTAAAGTGGGACATATGCAAATTTCACTTTTTTAATTGTTAAATAYATTTTGTTGTTTACTTGGAGACTCTAGAAGTGAAGAAAAGCTGAATTTAGTCTTTTCTTGGTGCTTCGAAGAAACCTTTAGATTCTGTTTGGGTCAAATTTTTCAACCCATTAAATTTTCTCAATTTTCTGATTTAATATGTGACGTTAATAATAATTATTATTATGTGACAGAACTGCCAAATAAGGTATGGATTTACCAACTACAATTTGGTCATCTTGATTCTCCTCTGGCTCTGGGTCAGACTCTGGCTCCAACATGTAAGGCTGGATGGACAAGTCTTACCTTGTTGACATCTTTGATTTGATTTGTAAATAAAATGTTTCCGTGCARCTATATAATTGTAAACCCCTCTATCAAGGTACAAAGGACCACACTTGATGCTGGAGAGGGGCGAGGTGTGAAGCACCTCGGTTGGATTTAAAGAGACAGCCTCAAAATGAGTTGATCTGAGACACACCTCAGTATAGAGGTGAAAGAGAGGCTTGTGGAGTTACAATAAGGGGTAAGCCAGACCAAAGCATTGCAGTTCCACTTTATACATACCCCAACTGAAGGATTTCAATTAGGGTTGGRCAATACTGGCAAAAAATTAATCACGATTAATTGGGATATTTAGCCGATARCGATTAATTTGACGATTAATCCCCTGGAGTTCCTGGACACCCTTATGTCCTAGTCACATGACCAATTTAGTGGGAAAGATTTGCTCTTCAGAAAAATCTGTTTCAAATCGTGTCAAAATTACAGACTTCAGGCTAWACATCAAATTTTAAATTGTGTCGATAGATAAAAAAACAGAACTTTTTTAAAATATGTTTGTCATATTTGAAGCGGAGAGGAGCACCAAGTGGACTCTGCCTGGTGGCATTAATCGTATTAATCATCAAGTGCCAAACAATAATTGATTAATGTTTTTTTGACGATTAATTGCACACGATACAATTATGCCCAACCTTAATATCAACATGAAAAAGGATTTAAAAGCAGGATATGCCTACTGTAAATTAGCAAAACTAGCTAAATTTTGGCAAATCAGTAGTTAAATTGAACAAAACAAATGCTAAAATTAGCAAAGCTTTAGCTAATAGTAGCAAAAATAACACTAATGTTAAAATTAATAAAATAGTAGCTAAAACAATCTCCTGCTAAAACGAAGATAATAAGTAGCAAAACAGTATTTGATTGTAGCAAAGGCCAAATGATTAAAATGGCTAAAATATCCCTTTAAATTTCTACTTGTAGCACAGAAACTGTTATTCTTATTTAAAATAAATTAAAGAGGAAGTTCTAAATCAGCATATAGAAACTCAATTATAATTTTCTAGAAACTTGAGGAAACTTCTGATTACTTTAAATAAATTCACTTCTGTGACACACTGGGAAATAACTTTTTGTTTTTATTTTTTAGGCTACAAATGAAGACTGCCGTAAAGACAGCCGAAGATTATGGATCATGGAGAAATGAAGGACGCAAAGGTTATTAATGAAGTAATTACAGCAGGTGTGAGGAAGTGAATTAAATTAGTCTCCTGGCTGTGAGCCGAGAAAAGCCACCATGGAACTGCAGAACAACACCAATCACAACCAAGCCTTGTGGAAGGAGATACCATGGGATTTCACAGAGGACTGCTCACTCTCGGTTAGCGGCACCACCTTCCTCATCATTGCGTACAGCACGGTTATGGCTGTGGGCCTCATTGGGAACTCCTGTCTGGTGTTCGTCATCACACGGCACAAGGAGATGCAAAATGTTACCAACGTCTTCATCGTCAACCTGTCCTGTTCAGATATTTTAATGTGCATCATATGCCTGCCAGTCACCATCATTTATACCCTGATGGACCAATGGATCCTTGGCGAGACTCTGTGTAAGCTCACACCATTCATCCAGTGCATTTCTGTTACCGTCTCCRTCTTCTCCCTTGTCCTCATCGCCATGGAGCGCTACCAGCTCATCGTCCATCCGACCGGCTGGAAACCTTTGGTACGGCAGTCCTACTCGGCGGTGGCCGTCACCTGGATCATGGCCGGTCTAATCTCTGTGCCTTTTTTCAAGTACAGCGTACTTGCTTTGCCTTTCCAGAACCTGAGCCTCCCCCTCCCAGTCGGCGACCACTTTGTGTGCATGGAGATGTGGCCGTCTCTTCCGAAGCGGCATGCTTACACCACCTCCCTGCTCGTCTTCCAGTACTTCCTCCCCCTCGCCCTGATCATGGTCTGCTACTTGCACATCTACATGCGCCTAAAGAGGAGGAAGGACATGGTGGATCGAGGCAGGAACGCTTCTCAAAAGAACAACAAGGGCTCCTCGAGGATCAACGTCATGCTTGTCGCAATTGTGGTGGCGTTTGCCATCTCCTGGCTCCCTCTCAACATCTTCAACACGGTGTTCGACTGGAACCACGAGGCTATCCCGTCCTGTGGCCAYGACGTCATCTTTTCATTCTGCCACCTCACGGCTATGACCTCYACGTGCGTCAACCCTATCATCTATGGCTTCCTCAACAGTAACTTCCAGAAGCAGCTCAAGTCCACCATGTTACGCTGCCACTGCTGGAGGGCAGCGGACAGGTACGAGAGCGTCCCGCTCTCTACTGTCAGCACCGAAGTCACCAAGGGGTCAGTYCTAAGTAATGGATCTATCACTGTCAATTCATAAATCCAAGACACAGCTAAGAGACAGTGGAAGTACTGTGGCCCCCTCAGCCAACATTATGTCATCATTCAGAGATTATTTTGGTTTTCTTGAATGCAAACAAAAGACAGACATTCACAAAGCTTAAAACCCCACAATAACCCTGAAGGAAAACCAGCTGTGAACATTTACCTACTCTGTATAATGTTACTGATTTAGCTCAAGCTCACACCTAAGAGGAAGCAGATAATGATATGAGGGTGCAAAGGTCAGACAAGTTTTAACAATTGTTGGACAACTGGGGACACTTTACGTGTGCACGTTTGGAGACGTAGTCTGTACAGACCGTCGTCTCATAAAAACAGAGACAGCCTTTTAACCTGTTGAATGAGTGTCATGTTTTCTTTGTGAAGCTCTTAAATCTATTTGAATGTCCTGATCACATAAACATCTATTCATCAATTCTTATCAGAGGGTTTTGACACTTTTACCTGCTGACAAAGTGGTGAAACATCAGAGAGGACTGGAGAAAACAAAGCAGGTGTTCTTTTTTCTATTGAGCTGTTTTATGTTGGTGTAATTGGTGATGATATGGGATTGTAGATTGTGATGTGTTAATGATTATCAACTGAGAAGCTTATCTCTCAGCTGAAGGAGCCAGTATTAGTGCATTTGATGTGTCTCTAAGTGCTCATTTATTCGATTTACAGGAAGTGTCTTATGCTTTTTTTTCCTCGATGAAAATCACTGTCGCTGTAACGGTCCGTTACACATGACCATGGTAAGAGCTGCACTCATCTCCTGCCAGCCCTGGTCTGAACTCCTGTATGTACGTATAAGTGTGGGATAAAATGTGCCCAACAACAATCATATATCATCTGCAATAAAGCAAAATATAAGTGACAATGAAGGACTTTGTCAGAGCAGCTTTTCTCTGCTGTAAACACCACATGGCACAGTTAGAGTTTATGGCATGGTCTTAAATAAAGAGCACTTCTGGCATTCCAAGTAACTAAGTAACTTGCTGTTAGTCACTTTGTGCTTTCCTAATTACACAAATTCAAATACTTAATCTATAATTGGTAGCACCTGTGGTGTAATATTTGGGATTCATCTGTTATTAATTGACTTTCAGTTCTCTTGTGTTGTTTTTAAGGGCGGGGGTTTCTTATTTCAGCTCCTATTTGTGCATTAAAAGCCACACCATGTTTAAACAAACCTTATGACACAATCTCATGTTTCTTGCAGAACTGAACCATCAAATTTGAGTAATTTCATCCATCTTCATGTTTTCATAATACAAATCTATTTTAAACTAATTTTATAATAAAAAATAAYGTTGCAGCTTATCAAATCAAAGCTGAAGAAGACTTTTGACTGACCAGTCTTCAAAATATTACAAAACACATGCAAAAATACAAAAAGCTTTAAATCTCTTAAAATATACTGAATGTGTATAAAATTAAAAGCAATTTCCACAAAGCTATATTTAAAATGTCTAAACCAATTATATTTGTTTAAAGACCAGCTGTTCTAAAATGAAGAATTCCTCTGAAATGTTTATCCTTTTAAAATTATAGCTCTGACATGCTCACACAGGAGCTAATTACCATCTGTGAACTATTGTGAACAGCGGGGTTTGAAAAGGTAAAAATTCTCTTCTTAATATGAATATTTAAAGATATTTCTGAAGTCAAGCTCTGTCTGTGTACATTATTTAGAGGGATGTCTGGGTGACATTTTTCAACATGGTTGTAGCGTTGAAAACATTAGTGACTGTTTTAGAGCCATAAATGGGAAACTGAATGGTTTGGGGAAACACAACAGGAGAATAATGCAAAGCATCTCCATCTTTTACTGGAATCTGGAATCAGGTTGTGGAGGCCAGTTCCAGGCCCAGGAGAGAAACCCAGACATCCCTCTCCCCTGCAACACTCAGCTCCTCCTGGGGGACCCTGAGGCATTTTCAGACCAGAGAGGATATATAATCTCGCCAGTGAGTTCAGGGTCTCTGAAGGGTGGAACATACCTGGAAAACCTCCAAAGAGAGGCGTCCAGGAGGCGAACCACCTCAGTTGATGTTTTTCGATGTGAAGGAGCCGCGGCTGTACTACAAGCTCCCCATGATTATGGAGCTCCTTGTATCCAGGAACTCATTTTCCTTTTGTTCGTGATCCACGCCTTATGACCACAGGTGAGGGTTGGAAGGTGGACAGACGAGTAAATCAAGAGTTTAGCCCATAACTCAACTCTTTTTTTCACCACGCYCGAATACCCTCATAACTGAGAATGAGGCCCCAGTCTATCGATCCATCTCCTGCACCATCCTACCATCACTCATGAACAAGACACTCAGATATCTGAAAAGATCCAACCAACTTGGAGAAGGCGTTCCACTCTTTCCAGTCGAGAACTGTGGCCTCAAATGTAGGGGAGCTGACAGCTGTGAACCACTCTGGTGCACTCTGAAGGTCTCGGCCTGAAGAYACCAACAGAACTACATCATCCGCATAAAGCAGAGACCCTGTAGTTCCGAAACCAGACACATTCCTCTCCATGACTGCACCATGAGCTATTGTCCAAATCCTGTAACACCACAAACAGGACTGAAGGCCCTGGTGGAGTCTAACCAGCACTGAGAACAAGCTTGACTTTGTGTCAAGAAATCAGATATAGCTAATAATAATAATGATACACATGAGCGATATGGATTCCTTCAGAGATTTCTTAGACTTTTAATTTAAACTGGAAAAGTTTTTTTTAAATATACAGGGGTTGGACAATGAAACTGAAACACCTGGTTTTACACCATAACATCCCTTTCAGACAGCTTCTTCTTGCGTCCACAGTTAATCCTGTTGGATGTGGTTCGTTCTTCTTGGTGGTATGCTGACATTACCCTGGATACTGTGGCTCTTGATACATCACAAAGACTTGCTGTCTTGGTCACAGATGCACCAGCAAGACGTGCACCAACAATTTGTCCTCTTTTGGGTATGTTGGCATAATGTTGTGTGCATTGCAATATTTTGAGCAAAACTGTGTWCTTACCCTGCTAATTGAACCTTCACACTCTGCTCTTACTGGTGCAATGTGCAAATAATGAAGACTTGGCCATAAGGCTGGTCTAATTTAGCCATGAAACCTCCCACACTAAAACGAAAAGTGTTTTAATTTCATTGTATAACCCAGTGTTTTTCAACCTTAGGACACACTAGTCTAACCCCTGTAGCACCTTTCACAGACACAAACATCACAAAGTGCTTCACAGAGAGCAAAATAATTAAAATAACGGAAAAAAAAATTAGCTAAAAGCCTGTCTGAATAAAAAACTGTCTTTAGATGTTTCTTAAATCAGCAGTGGAGTCTGTGCAGTGAAGGGACAGTGGAAGGGTGTTCCAGTACCTCGGGGCAACCGCCTGAAACGCTCGGTCTCTATAGGAGGTCCAGTATATATTCAGGGGCCTGGTCGTGAAATGCCCTAAAGGTTAATACCAACATTTTCAAAATTACTCCTCAAGTTCACAGGGAGGCTAGAACTTGATTTATGTGTTCTCCTATGTTGGTCTTACTTATTAACCTCGCTGCAGCTTTCTGCACAGACTGAAGATGAGCAAAGAGGATTTTGTTTAAAACAAGTAAACAGACATTTACAGTCATCTAAACAAGAGGAGAAAGAGGCTTCAAGGGGTCCAAATGGTCCTTAAAGTCTTAACAGATTTTATATAGGCTCTGAACTGCAAAAAGTAGCCTTCTGTGTAACATGTTTTATTGACTTGTTAAAGTAGTTTTTGTTAAAGTAGTTGACATGGTTGATCACATCTACTGAGAAATATCCTAGAACACATCGGTTTAGCATAACATTTCCCTGGTTTGCAAACAGAACACGTGTTCAGATGGCAGGGTCCACCTATTCCTTCTTGGATACTGTCAAAGGTTCAGTTTTGGAACTTGATTTGACATTTGTTTTGTGAAAAATAAAATCAGTAGAGAGTACAGAAAATAAAGTGTATAAAAGTATTGATATCACCATGCTAGTAYTGATCCGATACCAATGCTCATGTTGTTATCAATGTTATCGATAATACTGATAGATCGATATGCCCACCCCTACACCAAAGTTTGGAAATGTTTCCATAATGATAAGAACARTTACAAACTAACATTTTTTGGTGATCGTCAGAACACAACTAACTGTCAAAGACAATGATGTCTGAGATCACATTTCACAGCAGGRGTTTAAAAAGCAAGATGCAGCCTTGTTAAAGGAATTTTATCCTCAGGGGCAATAATACGTTTCAGATGTGTTTGCTTTTACTGATAGATAGTTGTTGTACAGCCACAGTTTGATTTTAGAAAGAAGTTCAAATAGTTTGTAGATCTCAGAGGTTTGAACTGAATAATACAATTGTATGTCATCAGCATACAGACAAAAGGACATTATGATGTTTTAGGATATCCCCAAGGATATACACACAATTTAAAAAAAAGAAAAAGGAATTGGCTCAAAACTGAATCTCGAGGTACCCCAAAAAGACAGTGGTGCTTCATCCAAGTAAAACTGATTCATAAAAACAGTGAAAGACCTTTTTGATAAATAGGAAGTGAAASAGTTTAACAAAGCACCAAAAATACCTAATGTGTCAAAGGCTAGAGTAAAACCCAATGAAACCAGCACAGTGTTTTTAGAGTTGGCTGCCATCACTTGATAGTTTTGATAATGGTAAATGGACTGTGCTTATATAGCGCCTTTCTATCTATCCAGGACACTCAAAGCACTTCACACTACAGACATTCACCCATGCACACACATTCACACACTGATGATGACAAATTACAGTTGTAGCCACAGCTGCCCTGGGGCACACTGACAGAGGTGAGGCTGCCATACACAGGCGCCACCAGACCCTCTGACCACCATCAGTAGGCAAGGCAGGTAAGGTGTCTTGGCAGGTAGGGTGTCTTGCCCAAGGACACAATGACTGAGTCGACTGGACGGGGATCGAACCGGCAACCTTCCAGTTCCAGGACGACTCCCCTAACCACTCTACCACAGCTGCCCCAATGTTGTCTCTGTGGGGTGCAATTTGTGAAAACTAGATTGAAAATTGTCTATGAAGTAATTTTCTAAAAAAGTGGTTCATTTGTTCTGCTAAAACAGATGGTAGACTGGAAGTTTCCTGTCCACAATATTTTGAAAGATCTAATCATTTAGACAAAAGGGCAACTTGGAAGCAATTAAAAGGTTTTTCCTGTCAATTACTTTTTGAATTTGAGGACTTATCAAAAGTATCTCATTAAAAGCATTGAGTGTTTTCTAAAGACACTTGAGTGCGTAAAAGAGCTCTCATCTTTTCTTGTCCTTACTACTGCCTGTTTCCGCTGTCTTGACTGCAGATCTCTCCCGCTCCTTTACTTTTCACTCCTCTCACCTGTCTCCGGCAGGGATTTATCAAGTGAAGTAGCCCTCTTCATTTTTTATCCTTTTTAATGGAAAAGAACCCAAAGTAACGGAAGTGTTGACATGCTCAAGTGGCACTTGGAAAATAGTGGAACTTAAATTATTTTTCCGTGTGTGTGTGTGTGGACGGGTTTTTCCTACAAAGTGGGGTATTTTTTACAAAAAAAGCAGCCAGGTGTGGACCGAAGTGAATTGTGGGGACCGATGTCAGGTCCCCACGGGTCCAAATGCATGTTACAGGTGTGGGGTTAGGTTTAGGACCAAGGTTTAGGTTAGTTTTAGGGTCAGGTAAGTTTCTGTGAGGTTAATTTTAGAGTATATGGTCAGGGTTAGGCTATAAAGTCTAAAAAACATGAATGGAAGTCAATGGAAGGTCCCCACGGGGTCAAGAAACAAACATGTGTGTGTGTGTGTTGTTAACTATTGTAACAWGGCTTGGGGCACATTAC